GTAGGAAATAAAAAAAAGAAAACTGCCTCAACTTGATTAATATTGGATATTGATTACTTTTTACCTCCTCCCTTTGGGGACACTGTAGATATGAGCCAACATCTAAATTTTGAGTAATTTTCCCAAGTGTGCAGAGTTGGGGATTAATGCGTCCAAAAGTTTGAGAAAAGAAAGAAGCCTGACTCTCTTCTAGGAGGCCAATCTCTCAGAAGACTGACTGCTCTGAACACATTTGTGGGTCCACTGAGAGAGCCCTCTTAGTGGAGAAGAAAAATAAGGTTTCTCCAGCTGCCTAGGCCCAGTAATGGTTCATATTATTAGAAAAGGAAAATGAAGCCAACAATGAGAAAATTACAGGTTAATTCAAAAGGTGAGAGAACAGGACCAAGAGTATCTTTGTGAAGATGTGTATGGGACTATAAGGACCCTAGAAGTCTCCCCATTCTGCTAAATGAAGAAGCCCTGGGAACACTCAGAACCCCTGAGTTACTGTCAGAGTGAGAGACGCAGTTACAGCCCCAAACTCCTTTCCCTCCAGGAGTGAGTTTGAATATCAACTATCAGCTAACTCCCAATTCCCAGGAGTCTCAGCAATGCCCTGGTCTAGTCCCCTCACTCTCTCTGATTGCAGCATACTTAATTAAATTGTGGGAGCAACTTTCTGGGAGGCGAATAATTTGCTTCAAGAGACAAATCTACAAAACTAAAGGTATGATGTGAAAGCTTCGTCACACATTCATCCAAGGACATGTGGTTAGTTATTTAGGGATGAAGTCCCAGGTAGAATCTAAGTCACTTGAAAACCAATACCACCTCCATGAATGGGTAATGTGACTGTTCTATGGGATAAAGAAAATCCAAGGATGGAAAGGATCCTCGTCTCAAATGTGGAAATGAATCATAAGATCTTTCACCAGCTAGGCAGAGGCTTGTTACAACCTAATTCATTTTGTGGATTCCTCCCCTTCTTTGCAAACAAGTCTTTGAAACATCAGAGCCAAGATTAAAAGCTTCCTTAGACTCACTGGAGTCATCTTGAAAGTTGTAAATTCTCATTGCCAGAGTGTCAACAGTCAAGTGTTTTAAAACATGCTAAAAGTACAGTTAGGTTGTTTTATCACCATCCTCCCTTCTGCATTCCAGCACAGAAAATTATTTGTCTACCATGGTCTCCATGTTTCCCCTCCACTCCCTGCCCATTGACACATCAAATGAGGATTATGCTGTAGGAGAATATTTACTCAACTTGGCTCATGGCCATTATGCTCCTGTGAGCTTCCAAATCATATTCTTGAATTGATATGTACCCCCAAGATGAGAAGACTGAGTGAATATAAAGTAGATGCATTCTAAAGGTGACTGGGTGACTGGTACAGTGAGTGGAAAGGGTTCAAATCAAGTCTGAGGAGTTGCTTTGAATCTCAGCTCTGCAACTTCTAATCTGTTAGACCTTGGGCAAGTCACAATCTCCCAGGGCCCACGTTGTTTTCATTTGTAAAATGAGTGGGTTAGAAGAGACTGCCTTTAAAGTGCCTTCCAGCTTTAAATGTATGTTTATCAAACATTTTTGAGCAGTTTGTCTAGAGTTCCCTTCGAGACCTTCCCCCTCATACCCTTCCCTTTATTATTAGTGGCATGCTGGTAAATATTTAACAACCAGCTCTGGTGGGGGGGATGTAGGCAAGATATATTTTAAGTTTAATTTGCATTATTAACATTTTCTCCATCACTTTCTAAAGTCTAGATAATCAACAAAACAATAAATCAAGCCCTAATTGGTAGTGCTTGCCAATTTCAAGGTGCAAATGCTCACATTCAAAATTTAACAGTCAGCTCTGGAAGCTGGCTCTAACACAGCACTGATTATATTAATCTGAATACATGTTGCATCCTTCTAGGATCAAATGAGATCATCTAAATGTTAGCTAGTAGTAGTAATAGTAGTAGTAGTAGTAGTAGTAGTAGTAGTGGTAGTAGTAGTAAGTAGAATGTAATTTATTTGAGGACAGGGATTGCCTAGCACCCAACACCTGACAAATGAGATCATCTAAATGTTAGCTAGTAGTAGTAGTGGTGGTGGTGGTGGTGGTAGTAGTAGCAATTGTAGTAGTGGTAGTAGTAGTAGCAGTAGGTAGAATGCAAGATTTTTGAGGACAGGTACTTTTTCCTTTTTGTTTCTGGTCCTAGAACCTAACACAATGCTTTGCACATTATAGGTGTTTGACAAAAAAACTTTTTAAAGTAAATTTTATTAATGCTTTTATATCATAGTCGTTCCTGGATACAACACCCCCACACTGACCATCAACAGACCTTCTCTTATAATAAAGAAAAATGGTTAAGGAAGTGGTATGTAGAGAATGACTATGTCTGGTGCGACTGTAACATTTTGTACATGTCATATTGTCAAGAGGAGGGAGATTCATTGTTTCGTTATTTACTTCCCAAGACCTGTTTTGGTCCTGAGAACTACTCAGAGTTGGGCTTCTTTTCAGGATTGTTTTCATTTACATTATTGCATTCCATGTGCATAGCCTTCTCCTACTTTCATGGGCCTTTCCCCATCCCCCAATGGTTAGTGCTTCCTTCCCTCTTGCTATTACTAAGTATTTACTTTATACATATTTTTTATATTCATTTATGTGGGCACATTGTTTCCAGCAGAACATAAACTCTTTGAAGGCAGGCAGCATTTGTTTGCATTTCTGTCTCAAATACCTGGAACGTAGTAGATATTTAATAGATGTTTATTTGTAGGTTAGGAAAGGACCTCAACAGGCCATCTAGTCTGACCCCTTCATTTTATATATGCCAAAACCGAGGCAGAGGAAAGCAAAGTGATTTGTCCAACCTCATACAGGGATGCATGCAAGCATTAAAGGTGGGGTTGAAATCCAGGTCCTCTTGACTCCAGAGCCAATCCCCTTTCTAATAAAATAAACGAAATGGAATTTTTCTTCTCCACTCTATCCATCTTTCCATGTTTTTCTGCACTCCTATTCACCCTTTTTGCTAAATTAAATTATGGAGTTAGATCATATTTAGTGAAATAAAACGGCGAATCCTAACATTTTAAATTATTTATGACACTCCTTTTTGTACGTTTCCCCTCCCTGAAGAGACATCAAAAATCTAGCTCCAAATGGAAAATTATCACCTTTTTGAGTTCCAGCTGGTAAATTTTTTATACCAGTGGCTTATCCAGAATCTAGCCAGGTGGCTCAGCTAATGTTAGCCTCCCCCCCTTCCTTTTGGGGGGAGCTCAGACGACTCATCCAATTCTCCTCCTAAAGGCCTCCGGGCATCAGCTTACAAGAAAATCTGGGAGAGAGTCACCACACCTGGAAATCCATCTTATTTTTGTCCAGGTACTACTTCCACATAATCACTTGAAAATTCTCCCTTGAACTTCTGCTGCCGCCTTTGAGGGGGAACAGAATTGTTTCTAAATGTCACTACATTTATCTTCTATTAGTACTGTCTTGCCTGCCTTCCTCGGCCTATTATTCAAAACCACAAAGGGCTGACTTTCTCATAGTTCATAAAAAAACTAAGAAACCTCTTAGCATACATAACTGGCTATAAAGTACAGTTACTTATGACATTCATAGAAACCAAGAGCTGACTACTTTCCATGCCTTTGAAGAGCGCAGAAAACCTGGATCCTTTCTGAGAAAGCCCAAGTGCTGTGAATTTTCTATTTTTAATTCACTATTTAAATTAAAATCCTAATCTTCTGTAGATTTGGCTGAGGCTCATACAGAGAAAGGGAATGGAAGGGCTTGTAGCCAGACATACAGGGCATAGAGTGCTTTGTAGAGCATGAATAATTAACCAAGACAGTCAAAACAAACAGTGTTGTTGCAAATTCATTTGTCTTGGCCCATTAATTTGGCTTTCTGGTTTAGCAACACAGTTTCTCCTGGGGCAAAGTAGCTGGCACTAAGGACTGTGCCAATTCCCTTTCTCTGCCCCCTTCCCCCTGCCCCCCATCAGGACTGAGTTCTTATCACTTTGGGATTGTATGCGGGCTGGAGAGCTCCCAGGGTGTCCCCTTACACAGCAAGGGCATCAGAGGCTGCCTGGCTTCTTTTAAGAAGGCTGAACTGAAAATAACAGCATTGTACAAGGTAGCAAGGCACTCTGGGCCGCCTGCTGCATCAAGAGGCTGTAGGGAACCCAGTAAACCGGCCATTTGGATGAGGCTGCCACATTAAGAATGAGCAGTCCCAGCATCCCTCACAAGTGAACTCATTTTTGCTCACTCATTCTTTTCCACTCTTTTTGCACAGGGCCTATGTCACAAGTATTGCAGACAAAACAAACGAACAAAAGCCTCCAACTTTAATTTTCAGTTTCTAAGCACATCAGATGTGATCTGAGTCCTTTTATCAGTGCAGGTGAAGTGTTTTTAGGAAACTTTTGGAGACATTCAGTGTTAGATCTAGATAAGATCTTAGCTTCATAAACAAACAAAATATATGTAATATGTATACACACATACACGTATGTATATATGTGTGTATATGTATACACATATATGTATATGTATATGTATATATACACTGTGTATGAACACATGTGTGTATGTTTGCACACGCGTGTGCATGTGTACGTGTGTGTGTTTGTATCACATAGCAGCTGCTGCAGGGACTACATTGGCACTTTCATATTCTGTACCCAGTTATGCAGTCATGAACCAGACTCATTGCTATTTCTAATTAGGGGAAGTAGGCTTCCCATTCTCATATTCATTGGCTCATTAAGCCAAAAGGAAGAGAGAAAGGTGGAGGAATGTGTCACCCCTTTTGTGTATCTGCTGATTTCTGACACACAGACAATTAGGTAACTTCATCATGCAGTGCTATCTATGCTACCTATGCATTTCTGGAAATAGGATTCCCACCCCTTCCCCCTAGCCCACTCCCTCCTTCCTTGCTGAGGATTGGATTAGAATAGAAAGAGGCAGAGAATACCTGAGCATGCTCTGTATAACTCACCAGAATGGGCAAATCCAAGCTTCATGGCACCATTGTGCGTGTTTTAGTGGTGCGTGTTTTAGTGGTGCCTTTTGTTTTCATAGCAGTCATTTCTGGAAATATCTCCTTCCACCCCAATCAATCCTTCACCTGTAACAAACAAACAAACAAAAACCAGTTAAGCAAAATCAATGTGCCAAGTGTGACGGTGTATACACTATTATGCCTAGATAGTACCTCACCTCTTGTCTGAGAGGAGTAAGGTATCGTTCATTATTATGTTTCCGGAGGGAAAATTCTCTCTTGTCTAGGATCATTATGGTTTTTTCAACTAATCAGCATTCTAGCCTCCTCATTTTACAAGTGAAGAAACAGAGATCCAGAGCCTAGCCAACTCTAAGAGTAAGTGGTAAAGTCAGCACTGAAACTCAGATATTTTAATTTCCAGTATGCTTATGCTTCCACCCCCCTGCCACCATCTGACTCAACAATTCAACTAACATTTGTGAAAATTCCTATTCTCTTCAAGGCACCATGTTAGTAGACCTCGGGATACAAAGACAAAAAATAAACCCAAACCCATGGACCTTGGAGGAGTTGACGTTCCAAGAGGCCAGGCCCTGAACTCATTTTTTAGAAAACAGAATGGCTATGGAGCTTTGGGTCCAGAGCTCCTTCTTTTTGAGTTTGCCTCCTGGCTTCCATGACCTTGTGGTTGAAAACCATTCTTTAAGCATCTGACATGTTGAGTAGGTTCTATTTTTAGGATAATTAATGGGATGTATGCTGACTCTAAATGCCTCCCAATACATTTTGCACCATTGGCACCATCCTTCATAAACATGATTTTTAACCATTTTTCACCAACCTTTGAGGCCAAATGCCCCCTCATGTTGCTCAGAAAATGTTTCCATGTAACATTAACCTAGAATCCCTTTGAACATACTTGTATGTATGATGGAGGAGACAGAAATGGAAAAATATTTATCTGGAGACTGTTTCCAACTGCAGCCCACTGTAATGCAATAGGGGGATTATCAAGGGTCATTTGGTGTCTTTACAATAACAAACACCAAGTAATTGGAGCCCCCAAAGGGAGGGGCCTGTGAAACCAGTGAATCTTTTCCCAAGTCAGCCTTGGCGTTCTTTCATCCCCAGTCTTAGGTAGCACCTTAAGGAAAATCCATCTGTTTGCCATGGGGTAGTTTTTGCTGAATGATTTTCCTGCAAGACCTTCCCTAGCTTCCATTAGCATGTTTTTTTTTCATTCCTATTACTAAAAACCAAACAGAGATGGCATTCTCATTTTTCATAAAATGTTTATTAGCTCAACTGAATACAAGGTAATTATTCTTTGCAGTCATTGAAACTGAGAATTCACCTATTAAGTAGTTATGTTTAAATAATTCTTTCAGATTTATAGAGCACTATTTGTTATTTTGTTTAAGCCTCACAACAATTTTTTGAGATAAGTTAACTTTATTATTCCCATTTCAGAGATGGGAAAACTGAGGCTCAGGGAAATTAAGTGAATTGTGAAGGATTATACTGCTACTAAGGGTCTGGGGGGGATTTAAGCCTGTTGCTCTGGATAATAATAGCACCTATCTCACAGAGTTATTGTGAGGAACAAATGAAAAAAACATATTTGTAAAGTTCTTAGAATGGTGCCTGGCTCATAGTAGTCACCTAATAAATGCTTGCTCACATTCCCTCCTCTAGTAACTATGCCATGCTTCCTTTACTTCTCATACATTTGAATATGTCACAAAACATAATCTTTTAAAAAATAATTCATAAACTTTGACTATATTCTCTCTTTTCATCAGTTCCATTTTTAAATCAAAATATATCAGTCTTGGAAGCTTGACGCAGTAAGTAGAGTGCTGGACTTGAAGTAGGAAATACAAGTTTGAATCCCGCCTCTGACCTTTTTCATCTATGTGACCATGAGTAATGTTTTAGCTTTAGTTTCCTTATCTGCGCTTAAGCAATAGGTGGCGCTATCTGGCAAGGTTGGTTGGGTAAAGAAAATTTGTTAAGAGAGTATGCACTTTTCTGCTCCCCTACTTCCCTATCACCTATGGAATATGGATAGGTCCTGGTTATGACCTTCCTTTGATCCAGACCTCTGTTTGGTCCCTCGTTTTAGGAGAGCTGCAGAAACCTTTAAATAATCTTGAAAAAGGATTGTAGAGGATAAACTTTATTAGAGTTATTGATAAAAAGATAAAAACATAAGATTCTCTCACAATTATAACTCAGAGCCCTCAACAACAACAACAAAAACCCATAGCTATTTTAGAACAAGGTTAAAACCTCTGTCTCATTTGTTTTCTATGTATCACAGACAGCTTCTGCTATGTGCCAGGCACTGTGCTAAGTTCTGGGAAAATAAAGAAAGGCAAAAGGCAGCCTCTGATCTATCCCAATATAACAGGGGAGAAGACATATAAACCTTATGCACAAATAAGATGCATACATGATAAATGAGAGCTTATCAGCAGAGAGAAGAATCTAGCATTAAAAAGGATCAGAAGGGACTTCTTGTAGAAAGTAACATTTTAGCTTGGTTTTGAAAGAAATCAGGGAAGCCAGAAAGCAGATGTGAGGAGGGACAACATTCCTTGCATAGAGGATGGTCAGTGAAATAAAGAAATTACATAAGTATCCGCTGGCTGTAGGCAGAGGAAAGATTTGAACCATTACTATCTTTTCTTTGATCTTAGCATCAGACTCTTCTAGCCATACTCTCCTTTTAGGGATTTGAAGAGACTGAGGCACGGAGTGAAGAGAGATAACTCAATCCAAGTCACTGGACTCAAATCTGAGTCCTTATTCAAAGCCCCCCCGGGAGTCTTTCCATCTCCCCTAGAGTCAGTCTGAAGTTTGCCATATTCTGTGGGTGCTGCTTGACTCTCTTAAAATCTAAAACATGGTGCTCCTTCTCACAAGCAATCCAAGAGGTTCCATGGAACTTCAGCTCCCACCATGCATTTCTCCATGTCCCAAAGGCACTTGGGTTACATGTAAAATGGATGAGGCTTAAACAAGAAAATGTATTTTAAGTGCTTTGTAAATCTTAAAGCATGATCTATAAATAGCAACTGTTATTATTGTAAATACTGACACCACAGTCAAATGTATGGTTCTTGAATGTTTAAAAACAAAGTCCCAGTGTTTTTTTTTTTTTTTTTTGAGAATTCCTGTCCATGGAATGTCCTGTCCATGTGCAGTTATTTTGATTTAAATGTATCCCTAGTCAGTGTGGAAGTGATCCTAGTCTACTAAATAAATCAAGGTGGGGGCCCTAGGGTTACAAGACGTTCTGTGGGTGTAATTCCATTCAGCCTTGGAACCACTAATACGGGGTTGGTTGAAGGTCTAAGGAAACAAGGATATATTCTGCATATGAGCCTTTCAGTCATGTCTGACTTTTCATGATCCTATTTGGGGTTTTCTTGGCAGAGATACTGGAATGGTTTGCCATTTCCTTCTCCAGTTCATTTTACAGATGATGAAACAGAGGCAAATATGGTTAAGTGACTTGCCCAGGCTCACACAACTAGTGTCTGAGGTCATATTTGAATTCAGGTCCTCTTGACTCCAGGCCCAGTGATCTATTCACTATGACACCCAGCTACCTGACAAAGTCTACACTTTGCAGCTGTGTGAGTATGGACTAGAGTGGAGAAGAGCTACCTTGACAACAGTTATAAATTCTGTAAAAATCCGGACAAATAGACTTGCCCCTGTTTTCCTCAAAAGACAGTCATCTGTAGCATTTGTGATTTCCAAGGCATGAATGCTCACACTGAAAACTGAACAGTCAACTCTCAGGGACCCCTCTGAAGCTAGTTCTAGCACAAAGCACTTCAAATCATGGGCTTATTTAAAACAAATATCAGTATGGATTTAGAGATAGGAAAAGAGCTTACATTTACCTAAAGCAAAACATGTGAAGTCAGTCTGTAGTGAAAAAATTCTAACTGCAAAACCAAGTGGAAATTAGAATTTTTTGGGAATGAGTCACCTTCCCACGTGGTACACAGAACAACTTATTCAAAATAATCCCGTAAGGGTAGTAGTGCAGCCATTATTATACTTGTTTTATAGATGAGGGAACTGAGGCTTAGAGAGAATAACTTGGGGGAGGAGAAGGAGGGTTCTATCCTGGGACTAGCAAGTGTGGGAGCTGGGACCCAAAATAAGGTCCTCTGTCTCCACGTCCAGTCTGTTTTTACGACCCTGTGATTTTTAGTTTATTTGCTTTGGGAGATCACATGTACACACATGCATACACACATACATGCATAAGCATGACTGTACACACACAGTAAAAGTAACCCAGGACAGAAAGTCACTATGGTATAGAGGAAAGAGAATGAACTTTGATGGCAGAAAATCTGAGTTTGAATCCCCATTCTTTTACCTGGATTGACTTTGGGAAATCCACTTCAACTTTAGTCCTTGGAGCTGGAAGAGGTGGAAGAGGTGGAAGAGATCTTGGAGGCCATCAAGTTCAACTCCTTCATTTTAACATGTGAGGAAACTGAGGCGCCAAGTGGTTAAGTGACTTGTCCAAGGTCATACACTACTAAATGTCTGAAGCAGGATTTGAACTCAGGTTTTCTTGATTCCAAGTCCAGGATACAACCTATTGTATCCTCCAGTTGCCCCCAAAATAACTTGTTCAAGGTCACACAGATAGTTGTGGTAGAGCTGTGATTCTAACTCAGGCCCTGGCACCCCAAGTTCAGTACATTTCCATTGCACCACACAGCTTCCCCTCATCTATAAAATGTGGTGACTGGACTAAGTGATCTTGAAGGTCCTTTCTAACTTCAGGTCCTTTGACAAATCCCTTTAACTCTTTTGGCCTCAGTTTCCTCAGAAACAAAGAGATTATATTATGGCCACTGAGAGTGATATCTACATTCAACAAATGAGGAGATCCTTATGCAAATGGATATGAGCCCCAGGTTACAGTTTGGCTGATCTCTAAAGTCCCTTTCCTGATTCTCCTAGGTAGGGGTCTTTCTCTCTTCCCTTGAAATTACCTTGTATTTACCTT